ATGTGGATGTGGGTGCTGGTGATTATGGTGACGGTGATGATGACGAGTAGGAGGATGATGAAACATATGATGACAAGTATGATGGTAACGATGATGCTGTTGCCGATGCTGACGATAAACTGACTATAATGATGCTGACGATAAAGATGATCATGATGCTGATGATGATGATGGTGATGATGAGGGTGGTGGTGATAACACGGTCGGCGACGACGATGTTTATGACGTTGATGATGATGGTAGTGATGATGATGATGACGATCATGACGACGATGAATCTGATTATGATTAGGATTAGGATTAGGAGTGTGATGATGATGTTGATGATGTTGATGTTAATGATGGTGATGCTGCTGATGATGATGGTGGCAATGCTGACGATGTTGATGGTTCTGATTTTGATGATTGTGCTTTTGCTCTCGTCTATAATGTGTGTTCGCCCGAATCCAATGTTTGTTCTCCCGGGTCCTATTGTGTTCAATTGTGCTCTAGGGGATTCGTGAGTGGGATGATGAGGGAGTGGAGGCGAGGAGGAGATAGGAGGACGAAGAGGGTGGAGCGGCCGGTAGGAGCGAGGGACGAGGATAGAGGATGGAGGAGAAGGTGGAGGAGGAGGTTGAGGAGGAGGAGAAGAAGGAGGTGGTGGAGATCATGGAAGGGCAGGAGGAGGAGAAGGAGGAGGGTATACGAGGGCGGATGAATGGCAGGAGCAGGCAAGAGAGGATGAAGGAAGATGGAGGAGGAAGAGGTGGAGGAGGCGGAGGAGGAGGAGGAGGATCAGCCCGGCGGGGAAGGAGACATGGAGGGCGGGAGGACTTGCGCGACAAAGGAATGTGCCAGGCGGCAGCGGGCTCCTGTATCGCCCTTGTTTGGGGGCCTTCTATGAAGGAGGGAGCCGGGCTGGGGCTCTGTGGGCATTATCGAAGACGCCTACGGCGAATCGCCGCCGCCTCCTGCCTTTTTGGAAACGCCTGTGTGGCCGAAAGGTGTGGCCAGAGGCCTGCCGAGCTATCGGACCATGTCTTCCCCGAATCGGTTTGGAAAGGGTTCGGGGAGCACGGTGGGGGAGGAGGAAGGAGAGGAGAGGGAGGAAGAAGGAGAAGGGAGGAGGAGGCCTCTTGGGAGCCTCTTGGGCTACTTTAGGATTCTATTTGGCCACATTCGCGGTCTTGGAGGCATCTTGGGATTGTCTTGGAAGCCATTTTAGGGCTATATTGGGGCTTCTTGGGGCCATCTAGATCATCTTGGACGCATCTTGGAGGCCACCTTCGGCCACGTTGGCCGTCTTGGCGGCGCCTTGTGACCGTCTTGGAGGCCATCTTGTCCGTCTTGGAGGCCTCTTTGGGGCCTCGTTGGGCCTGCTGGGGGCCTTTGGGGTTTTCTTGGGGGTCTCTTTGGCCGTCTTAGGGCGTTCCTGGCTTGTCTGACGCCGTTGGAAGCCGTCATGGGGGCCTGTCTGGGTCGTCTTGGGGCCCTCTTGGGGCATTTCAGGGCCGTCTTCGAAGCCATCTTGGGCGTCTTGGACGCCTCTTGGGGCCCTCTTGGGGCCGTCTTGGAGGCTTTTTGGGCCGTCATGGGGCTATCTTGAAGGCCTCGTTGGCGATCTTGGGGCGATCTTGGGAGCCTCTTGGGCCGTCGGCCTCTTCGGGCCCTCCTGGACGACCTCTTGGAGACCTGTTGGGCCGTCTTGGGCGCCTCTTGGGGTTGTCTTGGGCCGTCTTAGGGGGTCGGAATAACGGAGGTTATTGCTTGGCACATCCGCCCGCGCTGGTAACGACTCCGCGGCTGGCCGCGGGGGCGCCTTCGCTCGGCTGGTCGGCCCCGCGCTGGCCGACCCGCTTCCGCCTCCTGCTCGCGTCGGGTGGTGCGGTGCCGTGCCGTGCTTCCTCCGCCTGGTACTGGGGCGTGATATACCTACTGTGCCGTGTGTCGGGTTTCGGCCCTCCGCCCGCTGGGGCTTCGTTCGGCCCATAGTGGCTTCGTTGCGGCCCATAGCGGCCTGCTGCGTTCACTTGCCCAATGGGGTCCTCTCGTCAGGTCCATAGTGACCACGTGCTGTCGTTGGCCCGCCCAACCCGCCCTGGGGGTGGGGAGGGGGTGGTACTCCCCCACGGGCCCGACCGGCGTCTGCCCGCTTCGCTTGGGCTCGGAGAGGCCGCGCGCTGCGGGGCAGATGGGTCGGGTCCGCACCCTCAGCTCCTGGGGGGTGCTTCCTCCTCCCCCCCCTCCAGGGCCGTGCGAGGCGAGTGCAAGCGCCAGGATTTGCGTCGTCTTCGATGCATCTTGGGCCGTCTTGGAGGCATCTTGGGGCCATCTCAGCCGTCTTGGAGGCCACCTTGGCCGTCTTGAACGCCTCTGGGGCCGTCTTGGGGGCCTCTTGGGCCGTCATGGGGCCTTCTTGGAGGCCTCGTGGGCGATCTTGGGGGCCTCTTGGGCCGTCTTCAGCCGTCGGAGTGCCGAGAAGAAGCAAAGGCCAACATCCTTCAAAATCCAAAGGAAATTAATGATTTTGGTCTCTTCGGGTCCTTCTGGAGGACCTCTTGGAGACCTCTTGGGCCGTCTTGGAGACCTCTTGCGGGCCTCTTGGGCCGTCTTGGGCAACATTGAGGCCATCTTAGGCCGTCTTGGATGCATCTTGGGCTGTCTTGGAGGCATCTTGGGGTCATCTTAGACATCTCGGAGGCGATCGTGGTCGTCTTGGAGGCCTCTTGGGGCCCTCTTGGGGCGGTATCGGGGGCCATTGTGCCATCAAGGCGCCCTCTTGGAGGCCTCTTGGGCGATCTTGGGGCGATCTTGGGGGCCTCTTGGACCGCCTTGATCCGTGGGGCGATCTTGGAGGCCACCTTGGACCATCTTGGAGACCATCTTTGGCCAACGTGGTCATCTTGGAGGCCATCTTGAGCTGTCTTGGAGGATTTGTTTCCGGATTGAGGTCTTTCCCGGGTGGCCGGCGGGGCGCGCCGGAGCCCCAGGGGGAGGTCTTTTGGAAAAGAACCAAAACCAAAAACGAAAGGATTCAGCACGCCAGGCACCCCTCGTGCAAGCAACAGGGGGCGGCGGATCGAAGACGCCTACGGGGAATCACCGCCGCCCCCTGCCTCTTGTGATGCGCCTATGTGGCAGAACGTTCTGGCCAGACCTGCCAAGCTATCGGACCATGTGTTCCCCGAATCGGTTTGGAAAGCCTTCGGGGAACACGTGATCATCTTGAAAGTCATCATGGCCGCCTGGAGACCATTTTGACCCTTTCGGGCCTTTTTGGAGGACGTCTTGGAGGGTTCTTGGGCCGTCTTGGAGGCCATCTTGAGAATCTTGGAGGCCTCTTGTGCCGTCTTGGGGGCACTTGGGCCGTCTCTGGCCATCGGGAGCCCGAAAAAAAACAAATGCCGCAATCCTTCAACAACTCATGGGAGATCAATGATGTTGGCCTTTTTTCTGGCCTTCCTGGAGGTCCTCTTGGAGGCCTCTTGGGCCGTCTTGGGCCATCTTGGTGCCATTTTCGGCCGTCTGGGTGGGCACCTGGCCCGTCCGACGCCGTCGGAAGCCGTTTGGGGGGCCTCTCTGAGCCGACTTGGGGCCCTCTTGGAATGCTCCAGGGCCGTCTGGGAGGCCATCTTGGGCGTCTTAAAAAGCCTCCTGGGCCGTCTTGGGCCTCCTGGTCCGTTCTGGGGCCATCTTGGAGGCCTCTTGGGCGATCTTTGAGCGGTCTTTGGGGGCTCTTGGGCCGTATCGGGCCGTCGGAAGGCCGACACGAAGCAAATGTCAAAATCGGTCAAACCTTTTTTGGAACATCAGAATGTTTGGCCTTTTTCTGGCCTTCCTGGAGGCCCTCTCGGAGGCCTCTTGGGCCGTCTTGGGCCAATTTCGGCTATCTTGGTGGGCTCCTGGCCCGTCCGATGCCGTCGGGATCTGTTTGAGTGGTCTTTCTGGGCCGGCTTGGGGCCGTCTTAGGGGCCATCTTGGGCGTATTGGAGGCCTCTTTGGTCGTCTTTGTGCCCTCTCGGGGCCGTCTTGGGGGCCCCTTGGGCAGACCTAAGGCCATCTTGGAGCCCTCTTGGAGGCTGTGGGGGCGATCTTGGGGCCCTCTTGGGCCGTCCTGGGTCGTCGGGAAGCCGAGAAGAAGCGAACCTGGAGGCCATCTCGGGCCATCTTGGAGGCCATCTCGGGCCAACGTGGCCGACTTGGAGGCCATCTTGAGCCGTCTTGGAGGAACAATCGGGGGAATTGCCTCTGGCGTGCTGCGGCGCCTCTGGCGTGCTCTGGCGTGCTGCGGCGCAGCAATTTCGTGACCTTTGGCAGGCTGCGCCAAGACAAACACGTTACCTTTGGCGTGCTGCCACAAAGCAATAGCTTGACCTGTTTGCAGGCTACGCCTAGAAAAAAAACAATTGGGGGAATTGTGCTCCGTGGCCATCCTCCCGGGACCCCGGCGGGAGCGCCGGAGCCCCAGGGGGAGTTTTTATTTGGGAAAAGAGCCACAAAACCAACACCGAAAGGATTCCGCACGCCAGGCCCTTGGCATCGCTCGGACGTGTGTATTTTTCGGGGGTGGACAGACCTCCTACCCTGACACGTCGATTAGTGAATTGTCCGTTTTCGGTTCTCGAGAGGGCGCCGCGGCCGTTATTTTCCAGGCTTGCGCCCGCCAGGTCTGGGCCCGAGGTCGGTTTCACTAATCCACGTTTTACTAAAAGGGGTTCTGTCCATCCCTTTACTAAAGAGGGTTCTGTCCATCCCCTAGGTACCTTCCCCGACCCACGGATCTGGTGCCCGCGCGCCAGATCAGCAAATCCCTGTTCCATGTCAGCGTGCGCCCGAGGGGGTGAGAATGCAGGAGAGGCCTTCTCCAGTGCGGCGATGCGATGGCGCGAAGATATCCCCGCCTCGCGCTTCGCGGGTTTCGATGCGCGAAACTTGGCGACCTGGCTTACTGAGCACAGTGGAGTGGTCATGCAGAGTGCCCGTCATGGAAGGGAGCGCTCCGGCCGCGACCCCCGAAGAGGTCTTGATCGCCTGGGAGCCCTACGAGATCGCCTGCACGCCCTGTGGCGAAGATGGCTCCGCCGAAGCGCTCACCTGCACGCCCTGCGACGCTGATGGCACGCTTCCTTCTGCGGGGTCGTTGGGGCACCCGTACACCTGCGCCGAGGCGTGCAAGTATGCGTCCAGGTCGCGCGGCTGCAAGGACGCTCGGGAGGAGCGAAGCATCTTGCGAGCCCAAGCGGACAGTGGTGCCCAGCTTGTAGCATGTCGTGCGTGGAAGATGTGTATGCCCCAAAATTTCCGCGTTGGCGTCTCCCCAGGCGCTGTCCATTCTCGACCTCGGAACGGTATGGTGCATAGCTTTGCGGCCCTCGGAGCCGGAAAAACTATGCACCGTGTTGCGTTGGAGCGTGGCCTGAAGGGAGCCCTGACATGGTACAGTGCATGTGCGCCGTTCCCCGTCGTCGTCGTCGTCGTCGTCGTCGTCGTCGTCGTCGTCGTCCGCCTCGCCGTCCCCTTCGTTGTCGTTCCTTGCCGTCGCCGTCGCCGGGCGGGGGGAGGACGCGGAGAGGAGGTGGAGGACGAGGAGGCAGGACGAGGAGGAAAGGGGGTCCAGGCAGGGTGCATCGCCGCAGACATCGTGTGTCGGTTGCGACGCCGCGAAGTTCGCGGCGTGGCAACCGACACACGTCCGCTCCGCAATTCTGGTTTAAACGCGCCCCGGGGCAGATCCAGGGGTCGATCTGAAAGACTCGCTTCTCAGAACGAGTCATGAACCTGGCATGCGAATCCCTGGTTTTTTCTAAACGCGGCCCAATGATCCCCCGAGGCCAGATGCGGGCTTCGTTAGAGGTCCTTCTCGGGGAGTGGCAGCTTCCGGCCTCCGGGCTCCAAGGGGCCGTCGAATGAGCGACTCGGGAGGGAATTCCGGTTGCGGGGAAGTCCGCCTCGAGGGGGGAGATCCGTGGCAGCGTAGAGGTTCTCGAGGGGGGGAGATCCTCGAGGGGGGGGGAGATCCTCGAGGGTGGGGGGGAGATCCTCGAGGGGGGGAGATCCTCCTCGAGGGGGCGAGGGGGGCAGATCCTTGGGTCCTCAGCCACGCGCAGAGGTCCTCCTCGACGGGGGGGGAGATCCGTGGCAGCGTCTGCATGGGAGGCCCCTCGAGGGCGGCAGCTCCTCGCGCTCCGCGGCAGAGGAGTGGGGATATGATTGTTCGGGGGCGGCAAAGGGGGGGGTTGATGACTAGTGACTAGGGGGGGGGTGGATATCATGGCGTGGGTCATGATATTTCCCCAGATTTCATGGCGCCTCTTCACATTCCATTACGTCCCTGGCCCCCCCTCCTGGGCCGCGCACACGCCACCGGCCATGATTGGCGCCCCCCCCCCTCTCGGACACCCCCCTCTTGGCCGCTCCCGAATTGTGGAGGACGGTCAATGGAGAGGAAGCATGCTGCCAAATAATTCCCAGACGATGTCTAAACAGTGTTTCAAGCATTTTTTTAGATATGTAAAGAAACATGTTTGAAACATGTTTGGAACATGTGTTACACACCTCAAACACATATTTAGTTCAAATATTGGATTGTTAGAGTGTCAATTGTCATGGCATCCACCAGGATCTGATGAGAGATCCCAGGCAGCTGGCATGTCTCAGACATCCGACGCCGCGTTTTTTCACAGCGTGGTTCCCCAGAGGTCTGGTTCCCCCAAAGGGGGTAGGGGTAGGGGTAGGGGGGAAGGCTCCTTGGGAGGATGCTGCTTCTCAGAAGGTTGTTTGGGACGGGCCGAAAGCCGAGTCGTGATCAACCTCAGCCGAACTCTGGGGCCTCCGAATAAGACTCGCCACAGTCTTCAGGCGAGAGAGAGAGAGAGAGAAGCCGTGCACGTAGAGGTGCATTGGCAAAACACCACAGCGAAATGCGATGCGAAGCCTCCGGCGTCGCTGGCTCCATGCACAGGGAAGGCTTGCCAAACTCGTCATGCCGAGGCGAGACCGAACGAATCCAAAATCTGCTCCCGCGGGGCGCAACCGCCCGCGCACGCCAAAGCCCCCGAGGACCAGACGCACCCCGGGGGGGCCCGACTATGCCCTCCTCCATCGTCGGAGCCGCAGTCCGACGCGCAGAGAGGCTCCGGCCTTCGTGGGCCCTCAGGGTCGCCTCCTCCTCCTCCTCCTCCTCCTCCTCCTCCTCCATCTCCCCCTCCCCCTCCCCCTTCTTCTACTCCTCCTCCTCCTCCTCCTCCTCCTCCTCCTCCTCCTCCTCCTCCTCCTCCAGGCCTTCGTGGGCCCTCGGGGTCGCCTCTTGCAGGTTCTTCGTCGTACCGCGGGGACCCACCTACTCTAGATCTCGTAAGAAAGGGAGGGGGGCCTCATTTCGGGGGGGGTCTCTTCCAGGCTATCTTGGAGGGCCTGGGGGGTCTGGGGACGATGTTTTGGAGGGTTCTCCCACGGGGGAGGTCTGAAATGGCTTGTCTTGGAGGGTCCAGATCCCCTCCCTTTGATTACGAAATCTGGAGTAGCCGAATTCGCCTCAATTGGTTTTCAATTCTGCCCTCGGACAACTTGGGCCTGCAAGGCCCTCTGGCACCAGCACCGGGCGCCCCCGAGAAAGAGGACCCGCGGCGACAAACAACCGGATCCTGATTTCCGGGGAGCCGAGGATGTCAAAAACGGCGCAAGCCACAGCCGTAAAGACTTGCCGAGAGAAACGCATCCACTCCTCCCCCAAGTCCGACTCACCGCCCACATCCCTCTGATCATCGGCAAGGGCCTGGCTGCTGGCGAGGTCTCCTCCTGCCGCTGCACCTGGAGGGTCGATTTCGGCCGCCGCCGGCCCTGGCGAGGCTGCCAGCCCCGTTGCGTCGCGGGGTCCAGACGAAGCGACCTCGAGGCTGCCAGCCCACCAGCAAGCTTCGCGGGGGAGGCTCCCAATCCCCCGCGCATGGTTAGTGTCACCATCAGTGACTCCATGACAGTCGGCTCCAGGCTTGGCTAGCCTGTCGGCTTCACTACTGGCTCGCTGCTCCCAGTCCGTGCTCTTGCCGTTGTCTATATCTGCAGCAGTGGCATGGCCTAGGGCCTCGAAGCACTCGAACTCGCTCAGAGCAAAAGAGCTCCACGCAGGCTCCCACAAGTGCCCCTTCAGAGCCCCAGGGCCCTCGGAGTAACCAGGCCCACAGGCCAGAGCATCCAGAGTGTTTTGGCAGTCCACATACACTTGAAACAGGGGAAGGTCTACTTGCGTGACCAGATGTACAGCATGATCTTCCCCGTCTTGACTGGTGACCGTACGCCGCCGAGTTCAGCCTTCCGAGTATGTCCTCCGAGGCAATCGACCATCCTGCACTTGTGAGCCCGCCGAGGCCCATATACTTCGCCGACCCGTCCAGGACAATGAGGCCTGACAACACACCAGTCTGGGGCTTGTTGATCCAGTGGGTCATCTTGGAGGGCACCTGGAACTCGAAGAGGCCGCGAGGATGTGGACACACGCACCTGGCAAACTATTCGGCCATCAACGGACATTGCTTCTTAACTTTCCTCGCACATTCGCACAGCCTAGGACCTGCCGTATCCCGTCGTAAGGCAGCCTGAGTTGAGCATTCGTATTTTCGGTGAAATGATGTGCCTGGTTGTCCGCGGCACCGCTGGCACAATTCATCATCATGCAGGTTGTGCTTATGCAGCGGGCTTGGGGTCAGTGTGCTCCGGAGACCAGTCCTCGAAGACACTTCTGGTGAGGCTTGCCCCACGCCCCCGTTTTCCCCCGTACCATTTTGCAGATACCGTCCCAGAAGACAGGGTACCCAGGCGGCCCATCCTGGCCGTTCCGAAGAGAGAGTGCCCGTCGGAAGCCCGCACCACCCCTTGACGAACAGGGGTCCTGATCCGCATCGGTGAGAGTGGCAGCAGATTGTACTCGACTCCCAGGTCGCTGATGAGATGATGCTGGTCCTTGAAGTCCCAGCCGAGGCGGCGGCGCGGCGCAGCGTCAGCAGCGCCACATCACTCGGAGGCGAGACGAGGCCGTTCCCAAAGGGTGCCTCGGATTCTGGAATTTGTCGAGCGAAAGCTTCACAGTGCGAGCTAAGACCCGGGCATCCGGAGCAAACTCCCAGACCACCGTGCCCCACGTGAACAAGACATGCCCAGGACACGCCATCCGCGGGCCGACCCTGAGCCCGAGGCCTCAGGAGCACAGGCGGAGCCCAACCGAAGCAGTGTTTTGGGAGCCTGCCGAGGGAGCTTGCAGCTGGTAGGGGCCAACCCCGAGACGCACGAGCCCCGCAGGGCCATCGCAGTACAGTGCCGTTTTTAGTACACGCTCCGCGTGCGGATCATGTACAACAGTTCATGCATCAATGTATTCGTAAGTGAATCATGTATGATAAATCACATATTTTAAAACACCTTATGTATTAACAACTGCCCTGTAGGGCCCATCCGATGGGCCACCCCGTCTGCAGATGTAGTGCGCGGGCCTTGTCTGCAGTCGCGGCGTCGGATTTCGAGCCATGCCAGCTGCCTGGGATCTTACCCAATCTTATGACGTTCCAACCTACTTTAGCCTTGCTCACGAAAAAGAGTTCCGAGCACCCAACAAACACCGAAACTCGATGGTTTTCACGTGTCGGGCCCTGGGAGACACTCGTCCGACACTGTTTGGACACTGTTTCGACACTTTTCCGGGAGCTCGAAATTATTGAATCGCTTCGCTCATTCCGCCGGCCCGTGATATGGCATCGCTGGTTTTTGTCTGTGTGTTCGTTGCCCATGTTGCGCTCTTGGGGGCGGGTGTCGTTCGGACGCGTTGCGTGGGGAGTTTTGATGGTGAAGCAGTTCCCTGGGGGTCGTCTCTCGATGGGGCGAAATAGAGTCGTCGTCAAGATGCTTCTTTGGGGGGCCTCTTGGGGTCTGTTGAGAGGCCGTTCGGGGGCGCCTGGGAGACATGTTTGAAGCCTTCTGGGGCTTCTTTTGGGCCTCCTGGGAGTCTCCTGGGGCCTCTTGGCGACATCTTGGGGCCTCTTGGAGGCCTCTTGGGGCCTCTTTGGGACCTCCTGGGCGCCTTCTGGGACGGAGGGCTCCATTTTTGAGTTCTCGGTATCCCTCCTGAGTCCCTCTTGGGCCCGTCTTGGGGCCTCTTGGTCCGTCTTGGGCGGCACTTGGGCCGTCTTGAGGGCTCTCTTGGGTCGTTTCGGCGCCGTCTTGGGAGCTTCGTGGGCCGTCTTGGAGCGGTCTTGGGGGCCTCTTGGGCCGTCTTGGAGCGTCCGGAAGCCGAAAAAGCCAGAACACAAAAAACATTGAAAAAACCAATGAAAATCAACGATTTTGGCCTCTTGGGGCTCTCTTCGGAGGCCTCTTGGAAGGCTCTTGGGGCGTCTTGGAGGCCTCTTGGGCTGTCTTGGGGGCCTTTTGGGCCGTCTTGGGGTCATCTTCGGCGTCTTCGAGCGCTCTTTGGGCGTCTCGGGGGCCTCTTGGGCAGTCTTGGGGGCCTCTTGGGGCACTCTGAGCGCGCTCTGGGGAGCCTGAGAGGCCGCACCCAGAAGGAAAACCATCTCTGAGTAGACTTGGTCGGGCGGCGGTCGGGGTACTTTTCGCCGGGGGACCCCCAGGGGCCGCCCCGCGCGCGCGAACTAGAAATACTGTTAATACTGTTAACCAGTTACCCGAGATCTTAGCACGCCCTGGCCCGTTGGGCCGGCGAATTTCTGGGATGTGGTCCTTAAGTGCAACGGGAGCAACGTAACCCATATCCCCACTCCTTTGCCGCGGAGCGCGAGGAGCTTGCGCCCTCGAGGGGGCCTCCCATGTAGACGCTGCCACAGATCTCCCCCCCTCGAGGAGGACCCCTGCGCGTGGCTGAGGACCCCTTCCCCGCAACCGGACTCTCCTCCCGAGTCGCTCATTCGACGGCCCCTTGGAGCCCGGAGGCCAGAAGATGCCCCCCCCCCGAGGAGGACCTCTAACGAAGCCCACATTTGGCCTCGGGGGAAGGGTCGGGACTCTTTGGGCTGCGTTTAGAAAAAACCAGGGATTCGCATGCCGGGTTGATGACTCGTTCTGAGAGGCGAGTTTCTCAGACCGACCCCTGGATCTGCCCCGGGGCGCGTTCAAGCCAGAATTGCGGAGCGGACCCAGCCGTGGCGGCGAGAATCCCCCCGGAGGCCCAGAAAGGACGAGCAACAACTCTGCTTGTCCCTGCCTTTGCCCGAGTTCTGGGCCACTGCAGGGGTTTTGTCTTCGTTGCCTAGCCCCGTGCACGACGTTCAACGGCCTCCGCGGACCCACGCTGTTGGGACACGTTCCGTACATAATCTTGGGGCTGTCATCCCCTTCAGTTGTACATTTTTTTCGAAAACTAATTGCGCAGAACGAGCCAACACAGGGTGAGCAAACACGCCGGGGATGGCCACCGCCGTCCGATAGTGGAGCCGACTACTGGCGGCCCCGCCGCCGCCGCTGGCTGGCAAGGCAGGGCGCCCCGGGGCCTCGACGGCAGACAAGGGCGGACGGCCGCTGTCTCGACGGGCCCTCGCCTCGCATCGTGCAGCAATCACGCCGTGAGGTGTTTTTGGCCGTTTTCGGCCTCCGGGGGCCTTCGCTGGGCCCTGGTCGGAAACTGCAACATATACATGAATTACCCGCGGCCTCGCGGGCCAGGCCCTATTAGGGTCCGCGACCCCGCTGAAACAGGGCGTTGTTTTGCGGATGTCCCTCGCGGGACGCATCCGTGCGACCGTGCATCCGCGGAACGCGCCCAGGAATTCAGACCATGAGTCTGGACGCCCGAAATGGGTACTGAAAGAATGGATACAATGCCCAACAACAATTCCTGTTCATTTTGAACAGGATTCGCTGTCCACGCCGCCGCGGCCTGTGTCCATTCGAGACAGAAGGCCGCCTGCCCAACAGCGGCCGCTGTTGGCTTGGGACAACATTTGTTGTTGGGCATAGTACCCATTCTTTCCGTACCCATTTCGGGCGTCCAAAGTGAGGGTCTTCCCCAAAGAGACCGAACTCTTCAGAAGGCCGGAGCGCTTATGAGGAACCCCGCCGCCTTCTGAGACAGTTTCCTCCTCACTTCCCCCCAACGCTCGCCGCCGAGATGCGGATACGCTCGCGCTCGTGAGTTCTTCGCGGGTCGGGCGAAAGGAGGGGTTTGGGAAAGGGGGGGTTACGAAATCTGCTGCATGCAGCTGGTTTCGGCCCCGCCGCCGAGCCCATTCCTCGATACATGGGCGCCTCCCGTCGCCGGGAGGCGCCGCGAAAATCAGCTACGTGAGCTGATGCTCGAACCCCCCCTTTGCTATCCCCCCCTTTCGCCCGACCCGATCTTCCCTTCGCCGCAGGACGGCGCCGCCTGCGACCGGTGCCACCTCTGCGAGTGGAAGCGCCGGCCCGCCGCGCCGGCCCCGCCGCCGATCCGGGCGCCGACCTCGCGCAGGG